AGCATGGCCGTCTGCCCAAGTAGAGAAGCTGGTAATTATCCACTTTACTGTTTCACAAAAATTAAAACAAATGTTTCACCGCTGCTGCCAGATCAACATTTTTTCAAATAAATTCCACTGTACCACATTTACAGTTTTTGGGGGAATTGATGAAACCAAGTTTTCTTAGAGTTCTGGATTGTGTATAAAAAAAACTAATGTCTCAGTTTTCCCAGGTTGGTAAAATCGCCAACCTGTTAAAACTGAGAAATAAGTTTTCTATATACTATCCAGACTTTCAGAAAAATTTGGTTTTATCAATTCCCCAGCCGACTGTCCAACAGTGTTATAAATGTTTCCAGAAAGTGGTTAATACTTTCTCAAATATTCCTCAACTTAAGTACAAATTCGGCCGCTGTGGTGTAGTGGTAAGCAGTGCGCGCTCCCACTCCACAATGCCTGGGTTCAAACCCTGGTCAAAGCAACATCGCAAAAATATAGAAAAAAAAAGGTTTTTTCTTAACAGCGGTCGTCCCTCGGCAGGCAATGGCAAACCTCCGAGTGTATTTCTGCCATGAAAAAAAGCTTCTCATAAAAATACAATCGCCGTTCGGAGTCGGCGTTAAACTGTAGGTCCCTCCGCTTTGTGTGACAATATCAAGGCGCACGCCACAAATCGGAGGAGAAGCTCGGCCAAACACTAACATATGTGTAAGCGCCAATCTATTAATATTATTATTAAGGACAAATTGAAGAATAAAGTGTGAAAAAATTATTAATCTCAAATGGCAAATGGTTCGCTGGGATATCTTAATTCCTTTTATGTCGTCTGAAACCTATAAATTTTTAATTTGGCAATACAAAGAGGTAGTCTGACAATCCGCTAAAAGACACATACCCTGTGGGGAAAATCTCTAGTAATGAACTGATGCGCTTTTAGTAGGTACATTATGACCCAGTACTCCAGCAGCTATCGCTAATTTTGATCGCCAAAACTTTCAAAAAGAATAAATGGCGCGCCTATCAACGTGCAACATCTAGTCAAATGCCTCTCATACTGCCAGCATTGGCTGATTACACATTGCATCTTTTACTTTTCCGTGTTGTATAGTTTAAGGTGCCACCGCTTTTCGGCTGGTTCGCGATAAATCCCTTTTGCAAGCAAAAAACTGGCGTATTTAACATGTCAAGTATCAACGGACCCCGCTGCGTCTCTATTTCGATAGTTCCGAACTAGTCCTAAATTCTATAGTTCCGAACCAGTTCTAAAATCGACAGACGAAAGAAAAACGTATCATGATTTTTCAATCTTTTGGTTCTTCCGTATGTGCGATTTTAAATTCTTTGAAAATAATGTGTTTTCAATTTGAAATTAAATTTGTTTGAAAGATTGTAAAAAATGTACGTTTATACCTTTGGCTGTAGCTGAATTTGCAGAGGTTCTCTTGCTGTTAATGGTTACCCTACAAGACATTGCTGAGCACTTTAGGCAAAAATTCTAACACATTTACACTTTTGTTTTTGTAGTACGGCATAAATGAGTAGTTTGACTATTAGTACTGAGGACTTTCTGATGACAACATTGAGGGGAAAGTACTCAATTTTTTCCCATGGCCTGAACGAAAATGAGGACTTTGATAAGCACTTTTGTGATTAGGGATAATGATAATATGAGTACTCATATGATACTCAGCTGTCTTGTAGGG